GGCAGGCCCGTCCGGCTCCATCGCTCTGGCTGCGGGGAAGGCTGGTCTCAGGCCCCTGGCTGTGCCTGGAACACCATGCAAGGTTCTGGTTAGCAGAGGGCCGGGAAGGGGCTACCCTGTTCCAGCAGTTCCAAGGCTGCTGCGGTGGCTAGGACGCTGGCTTCCCTCCAAAAACTCATGTTGGAACTTCAGCCCCAGTGCAGCCCTGTACGTGTGCTGTGGAGGTGAGTCACCAGGGCCGGATGGGATTAGCACTTAGGAAAGGCCCTGGCTGGAGGAAGTGCACTCCCTGCCGCACCCCCGCCATTTCTGCCTCCCCATCCCTCCACCCGCAGACAGGCCACAGCTCCCAGCCGCATCAAGGGCCCAGACACCCCCACTTTGCACATTCTCGAAACTAAACCCCACAGCATCGTTCTACGTAAAATGATAGCATGTTTTAGAGTGAGTAGCATCTGATTCAATGAAATCAATGGTAGTCGTTTCTGTTCTCGTTTTAGAATTATTTATTTAATTTTATTAATTATTGTTTTTAAAATCTGCTATAGGGCACATGCACTCACCAGAGAGACAGAGACAGAGAGTGAGAGAGAGAGTACATATACATGTGAGAAAGCTGCCAGGTTCAGGACTCGAACCGCAGTCACCCATGTCGGAGTCCAACTCCTTAACCACCACGCCACCTCCTGGCCAGTGTTGTTTCTTACATTCCTTTCTTTTTTTTTTTTTTTCTGTTTTGAGAGGGTTTTTTTTTTTATAGGGCACATGTGCTCACCAGAGAGACAGAGAGAAGGCGAGAAGTCACCCCCAGGGGATTGGCCACACTGCAGTCCCTTCTCCTCCATTCTCCTCTCAGATTTCGGGTACACACGCACATACTCCCAGCACGAATTGTAGGCCACGGGCCCAGGACTCACACCGGCCCACTATGTGGGAGTCTAGCACGTAACCGTTACGCCTTCTGTTGGTCCCTAGAGTCCATTTTAAAATATGACTCTTTCTTCTTTGGTTTTGACTTAAAGTTTTAGATACCCGATTTCTACTGATAAAATACATATAAATTAATGTTTTTAATAGTATTGAAAAATTAATTTAAAAACATTTTCAGATAAAATATGGATACTTTTCTATAGGTGAACTTGGAAATAAAAATTTTGGTGGTAGGACAAGCAGGAGGCAAAGTGGTTAAGGCGTTGGATTCCCACATAATGGACCACAGTTCAAGTCCTGGGCCTGGCAGATTGAAACTTAAACCAGGTGCGTGTGCGTGCGTGCCCATGATCCCAGGAGGAGACTGGAAGAAGGGACTGCGGCAGGGCCGTCCCTCCTGGGGTAATTTCTCACATCATCTCTCTCTCTGTCTTTCTTGTCCTACAGCAAAAACGTGTTAAAAACAATGGTGGGGGGAACCAGCAGTTAGCGTAATGGCTGTGTCGCTGGACTCCCACGTAGTCGACTGCGGTTCGCGTCCCGGACCTGGTGGCTTAAAACTCACGCCGGGCGCGTGTGCGTGCATGCCCAAGATCCCAAGAGGAGAATGGAGGAGAAGGGATCGCGGTGTGGCCATCCCCCCTGGGGGGTGATTTCTCACTTTCTCTGTCTCGCGAGCGCACGCGCCCTATAGCGAAAACCTCTCCAAAAAAAAAAACCAATGGTGGAAAGCCAGCCCCTAGCGCCGCAGGAAGCCAGGTCCCACGCGGCTGCCCCAGGTCCAATACCAACCTCAGTAGCTTGAAAGCACCCTGGGGCCATGCGTGTATGTGCCCAGGTCCTGATGGAAGGAGCGACGGGGAAAGGACTTCGGTGTGACCGAGTCGCTAACCGGGCGCTCTCTCCCTGGCGCACTCATGCACCCACTGACAAGAAGAATGGCAGGGCCAGAGGGTGGCAGGGTGACCCCGCGTGGCAAGTCCTGGGTTTGTACCCTGGGGCCCCCTGAGCACTGGCGTGGGAGAGCGTGCCATCCCAGGAGCACAGGCGTGGGGGCACGGACTGCAGCCCAGCAGCCAGTGCTCAGGCGGCCAGGCTCCAAGGCCTGCTTCCTGGCCAGCCGCTTGTCATCTGACTGTCTCGGGAGGAATAAAGGACCCTGTCTGTACTGCCAGTGACGGGGTGGGGGGAGGCAGCACCCCACACATTTCTCCTTAGTTTTGGGTTTTTACCATAGGATGCGTGCGCTCGCTGGAAACAGACAGTGAGAGGAAGGAGAAACCACCGGGGGATGGCCACGCCACAAGCCCTTCTCCTCCATTCTCCTCCTGGCATGTTGGACACGCACGCACACGCGCTCCGCATGATTCTCAAGCTGTCGGGTCCAGGACTTGAGCCTCGTGCGGTCGCGTGAGAGTCCAGTGCTTTAGCCACCACACCACCTGCTGGCCCCGCCACTGTCTCTCTCCCTGACCGAAAGCGGCTCCCAGACGTGGCTATCCGGTAGAGGCTTGCTCAGACACGAGCGAGGTCACCTCCTACTTCAAGAAGACACTCGATGGGCTGCTCCAGTGAAAGGTGAGCTTTTAAGAGAAAAGTGGAATTTTTTTTTAAATTTTGATTTTGTTTATTTTAGTTTTTGCTATAGGGGGTGTGTGTTCACCAGAGAGAAAGAGAGAAAATGAGAAATCACCCCTCGGGGGGGTGGCCATGCCATTACCCCACCTCCTCCATTCTCCTCTCGGGACTTTGAGCACTCATGCACAAGTGCCCTGCGTGATTTTCCATCTTTTTGTTTTAATTCATTCCCAGTTTTTTTGCCTTTTTGTAGAGGTTTTTGCCTTAGGATGTGTGTGCTCACCAGAGAGAGAAACAGAGACAGAGGGAGAGCAAGAAGTCACCCCCAGGGTGGCCACACCCGCAATCCCTTTATTCTCTGCCCTGGATCTTGGGCAGGCATGCACATGTGCCTGGCATGGTTCTCAGTCAGCCGGGCCCAGGACTCCAACCACGGTCGGCTGTGTGGGATCCAGCCACGAAATAGCTGCCTCGTGTGGTTCCACCCAGCATGATTTCCAAGCCTCCTGGCGGGGGACTACGGACACACAGCAAGGGAACCTGGATCTGCCAGGGTGGGCGATCTCCTTCTAATGCAGGGTGCTAGCCGGCTCGGTTGGGTGCTAGCTGGCTCGGCGGGGTGCTAGGTGGCCCGGCTGGGTGCTAGCCAGTGCGGCAGGGTGCTT